AATCTACTGCCGAAATCTGGACGCTGTAGCTCCAATGGGTCCAGAGCTAGAGCCGATTTACGTTGAAATTTCTGTCACGGAGCGGCCGAAAGGGGGCACTTCTGTCTCCCCGGGCCGGAGGCACGCGCGCCCCGCCGTTTGACGGGTCTGCAAAGCCATGCCTCATATATTGGTGTCTGATGGCGGTTCTGGTGTGTGGTCTGTTGGCTCAGGAAGTTGCGTGCTGGATCGCTGCTCGTTTCGGCTGTCCGTGTCATGGGTTCGACCCTTGCCCGTACGAAAAAGTTTAGTCCGGCATCAGTCGGTTTTCGGTCCGGAAAGAGTCCGCACCCCTGTGGACCAGTCCGCGTTCGATCCGTCGTGCACCGGACTAGTCCACTTTTAGTACCCCCGGGCATGCGGACTAGTCCGCTTTCAGGTCGCTGCGGCGAGGCGCGACGCCGGAACAGTCCGCGGACAGTCCGTCCTCAGCGGACTAGGTCGCTTTCAGTCCGCTCCATGACGGACTAGGTCGCTTTCAGTCCGCTCCATGACGGACTAGGTCGCTATCAGTCCTCCAATGACGGACTACTGGCGGACCAGTCTGTCCTGAGTACCCACCGCAGCGGACCAGGTCGTTTTCAGTCCGCCCGGGAGCAGAGCACAGCACTGTTAAAAAGAAAGAATTGTCCGGAGCAAATCCCGAATCAAGTTTACCATACTGTAACTTTGGAAGTTTTAGGAATTTTGACCTCAAATTTTATTTGGGACATCTACACCCTATTTTAGTAGGGCCATTTTAATTTCATTGAAATCGAAGCAAATTTTTCTGCTAACTCGTAAACGGCTTGAGCTAGGTCAAAACAGACAGCGGATTTGGCTTCGCCTCGTTTCTAACACTCTAAGACCACTGTTTGATTCACCCTGACCTAATGTTTTACTTTATTTAGCGATAATAAAAATTAAACTTTGCACTTTTCCCAATCAATTTTGGCACGGTAGTGGTCAGCTGTGCTTCAGGTAGTCCGCTTTCACTCTGCTCTGCGTGCGGACCAGTCCGCGATCAGCCTGGTGAGGCGGGAATGCGCACCAAAAGCGGACTAGTTCTAGCCGGACTAGTCCGGCAAATAGGTCGGTTTTTGGTCGATCTGGCTTTTTTCGCGGACTAGTCCGCTCGCTTTTGCGGACTGATGACGGACTGTCCAGCCGGACTCTTTCCGGACCGAAAACGGACTGATGCCGGACTAAACTTTTTCGTACGGGTGGATTTTGGGGGTATTTTTTATGTTTTTTTTTTTTACCCCAGGGTCCAGTTGTTGATGAGATCGCCTGGTAGGAAGGCGGGCCCGCCGAGCCGAGGGGTCCCCCACTCTCCAAGTGGGTGTACAACGAGTTGCGTGAGTGTCCGCGAGTATTCAAAAGTATAAGCGAGTATCCGCGAGTTTATGCGAGTAATGGCGAGTATCCGCGAGTATAAGGCGAGTATTTGCCGATTTTTTCGCGAGTTGTCGCGAGTTGTCGCGAGTATCATGCGAGTATTTTTCCTCGTGTACAACGAGTTGGCGAGTGGGGGACCCCTCGCGCCGAGCAGCACTCGCCCTTACGCCCGCGACCGGTGCCTAGTAATGAGTGGGTGACCCTTTGGACGAGTTGTGGCTGATGACCCAGTTGTGGCTGAGGGTGCTGGGTAGGTAGGCACGCCCGCCGAGCAGCCTTTCGAGATGGCCTCGTATGCCTTGGCTCGTTTGTAATGTGTGGTTCACTTTCGGGCGAGGTGTGGGGCCCAGTTGTGGCTGAGGGCGCCTGGAGGGTAGGCAATCCTTACAAAAGATGTCCTTCATCTGGGCCCGATTGTGTTTGTTTATATGCATCCGGGGCCTTCCGGGTTGTTAGGGACTATGTGCCTTAAGGTGGATTCAGAGTTCACAAGATGCGAACGTGATTTTCACGCCGCTAGCGTGAAAAGAGTTGTTTTGGTTAGCAGTTGACTTTATGCGACAGCCAATAACAGGCCGACGTGGGGCTATGCCATTATTTTCAGCTGAATCAGCTTCGAAGCTAGCGTGATTTTCACGCAAGCGTCTGCTAGCAGCGTGATTTTCACGCAAGTTCGAAGGGGCACTTGGGAGATATTCGAGAATGTGCACTTTCGAACTTGCGTGAAAATCACGCTGCTAGCAGACGCTAGCGTGAAAATCACGCCGGAAGCGTGAAAAATCGTGCTAGCTTCAAAGCTGATTCAGCTGAAAATAATGGCATAGCGGCACGGCGGCCTGTTATTGGCTGTCGCATAAAGTCAACTGCTAACCAAAACAACTCTTTTCACGCTAGCGGCGTGAAAATCAGGCTCGCATCTTGTGAACTCTGAATCCATCTTTACATGTCCTTGCCTTCTGCTTACATCCCGAAGGCTTTGGATTTCGTATTACCCGAAATGGGGTGTTCTATAGGCGGGTCGGATTAAGCTGACTCTGGCCGCCGGGTTTGTGGCCACAATTTTGTGGCCACAAATAGGGACGTCCACTGCCACATGTGCCGGCTTGAAAGCTCCCCTGAAATCTTTTTCGCGGCAAAGTCAGTTAGTAATGGAATCATGTGTTTTCAGGCACAAGGTTGAAGGGAACCATCGATAAAGACCCATCAGTCCGCTACACCAGAAAGCTGATAGGTCTGCAAAAGAAAAGCATGTCAACAGGATTTTGCAAAAAAAAAAAAAAAAAAAAAAAAAAGACTATTTTCCTTTTGAAAAATGTAGATATATCTGGGTAGGAACCAGCTTCCTTTTCTAAATGAGACTTTGCCTTCTGGTAGAGACAGTCTTTTAGGGGACTGCCTAAAAATGAGAAAGAACGAGAGTAGTTGGCTCGCTGTGAGTTCACTCCGAAAACGTTCTGAGCAGCAGTCTTGACCAGAAAAAAGTTTTCCAGCAGTTGGTGACGGATGTATCGAGTGACAATTTTTGGTAGTTTAGAAATATTTGTAAGATGTATCTCATAAGGTGCCCCCATAATGAACGGGAGGTGATGCTGGGTAGGCAATGCCGTGCCGGCAGGTTCACCCACTTTCATGCGAAAACAGCGTTAATAGCAAGCGTAGCCCCGCGCAACCGGCACGGCTTGCCAGCACGACGGCCTGGCCGCACGGCATCGCCTACCCAGCAGTGCCTCCCGCTCATTGTGGGAGCATCTTCAGGAAATTGCTTTAGAGAAATTAGAGTGTGAGGCGGGGGTGCGTGTGGTAATCGATGACGGTGGTGAATGGTAACAACAAAGACAACATGGAAGTATACTTTTCCTTCTGATCGTGTTTATTGGTGCATCGTGGTGCTGACTAGACTGGGACTGATGAAGTGAGGTGGTGTATCACAGCGCTGGAGTGCTGGGGGAGGGGCGGCGGGCGCCTCAGCCCAGGAGCAGCAGCTTGGCCTTCAGCAGCTTCTTCTTCTTGAGGAAGCCGGCGCTGAGGTCGGAGGGCGACTCCCAGTCCACGGACTTGTCGGGGTCGGTGGGGTCCGAGTCCAGGGGGGCGCACTGCACCAGCATGCAGGCGTACAGCACCACGAGGGCCAGCAGCACGATCTGGGCGGGGGAGAGGAGATGAGCACGGTTAGGGTTGAGAACAAAGAGGGAGGCGAGGGGCCACTACTACGGAGGGCCACCAGCCACTACCTCGTAGGTCACGTCCACAAAAAGAGTTCGGGTGAGGAAGAAACCCCTTTAATGGTTTCCGAGCTTGAAGCGGTCGCCGAGGCGGATAGTGTACTTACCAGGGAGTACTTCATGTTGAGTGCGTGTGGGTTGCTGTTTTGAGTCTGCGAGACTTGTGCCTTCTCCGGGCCGCACCCGGACCTTATATACCCGAAAGGGGCCGGGTTCGAAAAATTAAAAGTGGCCCGGGATGACGGCGACAGCGTGCAGGAGGCGCCACACAGAGACGGACGATTCGGAGACGGTCGCGAGGCGGGGGCGGGGGCGCCGCACTTTAGGGCTGACCGGTTATTGCGTGGCCAGTATACTCGTTAGTTCCGCACGGCTCGACTTGAGGGGATGAGTTGGTTGTCCCTCCCGCGCCCTTGAGGCCCCGGCAGCGGCGCCACCGCCTCGCCGGGGTCGACGGGCACCTCCGAGCGGGTTAAAGCTACCCGAATGGTTGTACACGGCGACCAAAAAAAATAAATAAATAAAAGAAAGCACAGAACCGTCAACTTTACGCGCAATTACATAATTGATGCAGGTAAAATTTGTAAGTGGGTACATTTTATTATTCAAAAGAGGGGACCCGCTTGGGACTCAACGACGTGTTAATTCTCTAGGGGAGTGAGGGGGGGGGGGGGGCTTTTGGAAACACTCTCAAGAACTCTGCGTCGTATCGCAGAGACACACGTGAGATGAGAAACACCACTGACCTTCCACAATCGGGCGAGTGCCGTGTCGACGGGCAGGTGCTCCGCGGCCGCGGGGGGCCATGCGGCGGGGGCTTATCCTCGGCGCGGGCTGCATCCTGCGGCACCGCTCCATATCGGCGCCAGGGCGGCCCTTATCAGTGAAAGACAGCGGCCGCCCGTGCTCGGCCGGCGTGGCGGCAAGGCCGGGGCCGGGCCAGCAGCAGCATCGTCATTGCAGTCATTGACTCCAGGGAGGCAGCAGCTTTGCCCTCGCCACCCTCAAAGAGCACCCCGCCCGCCCAACCCCCGCATCTGTAATGCGTTGAGTACCCGTCGAACGGAACGCGCGCGCCGCCGCGCCGCCGGGGAGCCGGGGGGTTGGCAGCGCGTGCTCTCGTAGCGGCAAAAGGACCGTCGTCCAAGGCTCGCGCCGCGCGGGGCCGCCACCGGCCGGGGCGGCCGCCGGCCCGCGCGGATCACTCGTCCCCGCGACCCTCGCGCCGCGCGCACTGATAGTAGTCGACGACAGCGTGTGTCCGAGACATGTCCTCACGCCCGTCACCGGCCTGCTCCTCCCAGCGACATGCCGCCCGCGGCTAACTACGACGTCGCTGCCGACCTCAACGCGTCCACCACCACCGCCTCGATGTCGCCGTCGTCGTGCGGGTCGTGCTCGTCGACGCCGCCAGCCACCCCGCCGGAGGTGGTAAACTGGGACCACATTGAGGTGCGGTGCGGCGGTGCGGAGCTACGCGGTGGTCGTGGTGTGTTGTGTATTGCTGTCTCGTGTTGACAATCTTTCCTGATCTTCCCCTTGCACCTCGCACGCACGCGTAGAACGAGGCGCGCGTCACGTGGTACATCTACGCTTTGGGCTGCGGCGGCGGGCTGCTCGTCGTCCTGGCCGTGCTCGCTGTCCTGCACCACAGGGGGCTGCTGTTTGGGAGGTAAGTCGTCGAAAACAAGCGAATCATTTTTAATCGCCGCACCAACTATATTTTCCGAGAATTGTAATAAAGATAAATAGTTGTCAAGTTGCCGGGTATGAAATTAAGCTCTGCTGTTGCCAGGTCGAATAAGCTGCGGCGGCCGAGCCACGCCCAGCCCTGGCGCCACTGGGGCAGCCCGCGCTCACGGCTGCCCTCGCTGTTCGACCTGCTGCACGTCCCCGGCACCAAGAGCAGGAAGTCGTCCAGCGCTCTCGACCTCGAGTCCGAGCTGCCGCCACCCGCGTATCAGCCCGGGGCCCTGCTCCAGGTCCCCGTCGAGGTCCTGGGTCCCCTGCCTGCAAGCGCCCCTTCGTACCCCGCCAATGCACTGACAGCTGCAGGTACGATACGCACTTTGGAAAAGTAGAGCTGTACTTTCTAGCGCTGGAAAAAAAAAGTGTGAAAGTGTGTAGCACTGAGTGACTCGAGGACGTGTCATGCAACAACTTTGCCTTCGTATTGCAGCAGGCGCAGCTGGAGGCGCCGAGGAGTCACCCTACACCATCAGCGGTGGCCACCGCACCCCCGCGCACCTGTCGCACCTGGCGGACCCCGAGCTGCACCTGGGGACCGTG